CATGGGCTGCACAAAAATCTAGCAGCCTCCTACCGTTGTTATTGAGCTGATCTGGCCCATGCCCTCCAATCACTCCAGGCCAGGTGCCAGTATCATGACCAACTCGGGCATTGAAGTCACCCAACATGATGACTCTATCCCGAGGGGCCACTTTAGCCAGCACCTGTGACAGGAGGTCATAGAAGGCATCTGACTCATCGGCTTTGCCTGCATCCCTCCACGGATGTTCATCTTCGGTGGGGGCATAAGTAACCACGACCACCATTCCTCGCCTCCGGTTGATGGGAAGGCGAGCCCAAAGTAGCCTGGGGCTTACAGCTTCCCACACCTCACCGCCACGCTCCCACGCCCCCTTCATTCTTTTGTTCAAAAGAAGACCCACACCCTGTTGTTTGGCAGTCTGCTGCCCCGAGTAGAGGACTGTCCACCCCTCATGGTGGCAGGAGCCAGAGCCGGTCCACCGGACCTCCTGAATGCCGCATAGATCCAGGCGGTACCGGTCCAGCTCCCGACAGAGGAGTGGCAGCCTCTCCTCTGCAGTGAGCGTTCGAACATTCCACGTGGCCAACCGTAGTGGCTTTTCGTTGTTTCTGGAGTAGCCCCGAGGGTAGGTATTCAATCTCCTGGCTCCGCCAATTGGGGTTTGGCCAGGAGACGTCATAGACGCCTGGCCCCCCGGGGCCTCCGGCACAAGCTTAGTTGTTACATATTTAAGTTTAATTCGTAGTTTCGTGGTAATTAATTGAAGGTGGAGGGGTTACCAGCCCCTCGCACCCGTCCAGAGCCCCCGTTTAGCCCCTGTGGTGGATACATATGCCATGAGGGGAGGAGCCAATCAAAATTGGATCTCCCCCCACAGCGCTGTCCACGACAGAGTTGCCCATCCGGCACCGCGAGGAGGTAGGGGGTTGTTTTGCCGGACGCACACACTAAGACACACACACTAACACACACACACACACTATCACACTCACACACACTAACACACACACACTAACACACTCACACACTAACACACACTAACACACACACACTAACACACACACACTAACACACACTAACACACACACACTAACACAGTAACACACACTAACACACACACTAACACACACACACTAACACACTAACACAGTAACACACACTAACACACACACACTAACACACACACTAACACACTAACACAGTAACACACACTAACACACACTAACACACACTAACACACTAACACACTAACACACACTAACACACACACACTAACACACACACTAACACACACACTAACACACTAACACAGTAACACACACTAACACACACACTAACACACACACACTAACACACTCAGACACACTAACACACAAACACACTAACACACACACACTAACACACACACACTAACACACTAACACACACACTAACACACACACACTAACACACACACACACTAACACACACACACTAACACACACACACTAACACACACGCACTAACACACTAAGACACACACACTAACACACACACACACTATCACACTCACACACACTAACACACACACACTAACACACACACACACTAACACACACTAACACACACACACTAACACACTAACACACACTAACACACACACACTAACACACTAACACACACACACTAACACACACACACTAACACACACACACTAACACACACTAACACACACACACTAACACAGTAACACACACTAACACACACACACACTAACACACACACACTAACACACACACTAACACACACACTAACACACACACACTAACACACACACTAACACACACACACTAACACACACACACTAACACACGCACCCTGCAGGACCCTGGTGGCGTTCGAGGCGTGGAATGCACAAAAGCCGCGCCCACAATTGCCGCTCGCCGACAAACGCGGCCCTTTAGCAGAAATGTGACAAAATAAAAAAATATATAAATTAACAGTTATAAATAAATACAATTATAAGTGAAAATGTTTTAAAATACATTTACATAGCGTACCTCCGCCGTCATCACGCGCACGGCCCGGTGCTGCAGCGAGGTCAAATCCATCATCATCGACCAGTCATCATCATCCAGTCATCATCCCTCCCTCCGAGGGTCGATAAAATCGGTAACGGTGGGTTGTCTTGTGGATAGACTCGGCCCCGCCGTGGCAACGTAGAGTTCCCACCACTCATTCACGCACATTCTCGCCCATTCACACAATCGCTCATTGAATCGTTCGCTCACTCGCCCACGCGCTCATCCACTCACTCGCTCGTTCAAGTAAATGAGACGTTTCCTGGTCTCTAGAATTATCACCCTGGCTAAATAAAACGCACCTAGATCTTGAGTTCACTCAACTCATCTCACTCAATCGTTTACCCAGCCACTCACTCATTCGCTCACTCATTCACTTACTCGCCCATTCACCCAGTCGCTCATTCACCCACTCTTGTAACTCTACCCGGGTCTCTCGACGTTGCACGTGGTGAAAACAAAGTGACCTTGAATAGCCTCGAACTCGAATGACCTTGGCACGTGAATGCGCGGTGCTGGTGGCGATAAGGGTGGGGGCAGCCATCGTGATAGGGGTAGTGATAGCGGTAGTTACAGCAGGTAGGGGTAGTGATAGCAGTAGGGGTAGTGATAGGGGTAGTGGTAGGGGTTGGGGAAGTGATAGGGGTTGGGGTAGTGATAGGGTTATGGGTGGTGAAAGGGGTAGGGGTAGTGATAGGGGTTGGGCTAGTGATAGGGGTAGTGATAGGGGTTGGGCTAGTGATAGGGGTAGGGGAAGTGATAGGGGTAGTGATAGGGGTTGGGGTAGTGATAGGGGCTGGGGTAGTGATAGGGTTATGGGTGGTGAAAGGGGTAGGGGTAGTGATAGGGGTAGGGGAAGTGATAGGGGTAGTGATAGGGGTTGGGGTAGTGATAGGGGTAGTGATAGGGGTAGGGGTAGTGAAAGGGGTAGGCGTAGTGATAGTGATAGGGGTAGTGATAGGGGTTTGGCTAGTGATAGGGGTAGGGGAAGTGATAGGGGTAGTGATAGGGGTAGTGATAGGGGTAGGCGTAGTGATAGTGATAGGGGTAGTGATAGGGGTTGGGGTAGTGATAGGGGTAGGGGAAGTGATAGTGATAGGGGTAGTGATAGTGATAGGGGTAGTGATAGGGGTAGGGGTAGTGATAGGGGTAGGCGTAGTGATAGTGATAGGGGTAGTGATAGGGGTAGTGATAGTGATAGGGGTAGTGATAGTGATAGGGGTAGTGATAGGGGTAGTGATAGTGATAGGGGTAGTGATAGGGGTAGGGGTAGTGAAATGGGTAGGCGTAGTGATAGTGATAGGTGTAGTGCTACGTTACTAACCGTGCTAATCGGAGGTGCGGTGGGGTGGATAACAAACTCGGCACATAAAAGCATCTCGACAAAAACGAGCTTGACAATCGAGATGATGATTATTTAAGGGTGCGTCATAGCTCTCAGCGGCTTCCTAACATCGGAAGAGCGTTCCAGACGGCCGCGCAAGCGCGCCCGAAAGCGCCGCGCCTCTCCGCCGGTGGCCGCCGTCCTCGTTCGATGGCCCAAAGATAGATTCGTTCGCCGCGACCCGTCATGAGCGGGAGTCGAACTCGGGTCGCCGGCGCCGAGCGGCGCGGCGCGCTGACCGCTGCGCCGCCGCTCCCCGCGCGCACGCGAGAGGCGGGTGGTGGATGTCTGCTGTGGCGGTGTCTCTGCTGAGTCCCTGCGGCAAGGCGCTTCCCAGAGCGCCGCGTTGCTCCGGGCGGCCGTCTTCGTAGGGCCGCCGGCCGTAGCCGCCCGCCACGTGGCACGCGGTGGGAGTGAGGGGTTGGCACGTGGCACGCGGTGGGAGTGAGGGGTTGGCACGCGGTGGGAGTGAGGGGTTGCCACGTGGCACGCGGTGGGAGTGAGGGGTTGGCACGTGACACGCGGTGGGGGTGAGGGGTTGCCACGCGGTGGGAGTGAGGGGTTGCCCCGTGGCACTCGGTGGGAGTGAGGGGTTACCACGCGGTGGGAGTGAGGGGTTGCCCCGTGGCACGCGGTGGGAGTGAGGGGTTGCCACGCGGTGGGAGTGAGGGGTTGCCACGTGACACGCGGTGGGAGTGAGGGGTTGCCACGTGGCGGGGTGAGGGGTTGCCACGCGGCACGCGGTGGAGGTGAGGGGTTGCCACGTGACACGCGGTGGGAGTGAGGGGTTGGCACGTGGCACGCGGTGGGGGTGAGGGGTTGCCACGTGGCACGTGGCGGGGTGAGGGGTTGCCACGTGACACGCGGTGGGAGTGAGGGGTTGCCACGTGACACGCGGTGGGAGTGAGGGGTTTCCCCGTGGCACGTGGTGGGGTGAGAGGTTGCCACGTGGTGGGGTGAGGGGTTCCCACGTGACACGCGGTGGGGGTGAGGGGTTGCCACGTGGCACGTGGCGGGGTGAGAGGTTGCCCCGTGGCACGTGGCGGGGATTGTGGGGCGCTCCTCCGCCGTGACGGATCGTCGGAGTTCGGGACCCGCGTTGGAGCCGTCGCGCGTCGCCGGAATCGCTTGACAAACGAAAGGTCGGTCGGCCGGTCGGTGGGTCAGTGGTTCGGTGGGTGGTGTCGCGTCATCGCTGCCCTGCACCTCCCATTAGCGACGTCGGCTACGTACGGTGCCAAAGAAGTTCAACATACTAACACACAAACACACACACACACAAACACAAAACAACAAACAACAACAAACAAACCCACACACACAAACACACAAACACACACACACACAAACACACACACACAAACACACAAAGACACACACAAACACACACACACAAAGACACACACAAACACACACACACAAACACACACAAACACACACACAAACACACACAAATACACACAAACACACACACAGCCACACACAAACACACACAAACACACAAACACACACAAGCACGTCACGCGTCGCACGTCGCCATTAATCAGAAACATCGCTTTCGTTGTCGCCCGCAGCCCCAACGTGTGCGGGTCTCGGTTCAACTCCTACTGCTGCCCAGGCTGGAAGACTCTCGCGGGAGGGAACCAGTGCATCGTGCGTAAGTTCTGCGGGTCCACGCGGCCCACCACTCACCACCCCCCTCCCTCCCCGCGTATCCACCCGCGAGACAGAGAGACGTTTGCACCACGGTGGCTATGAGATGTTGACTACCTTGCCTGGTACACAGGAGGTCGTGCGTTCGATCCCGACCCTGACGACGCCTGCTGCTACGTATTTGGATTCTGCGTCTCCCTCTCTCATCGTCATCACGGGTGGCTAGGAGATGTTAACTACCTCGCCTGGTACACAGGAGGTGGTGGGTTCGAATCTCAACCCTGACGATTGCCTGCTGTATATTTGGAGTTTGCGGTGTCTCTCTCTCATCATCATCACGGTGGCTAGGGAGATGTTAACTACCTCGCCTGGTACACAGGCGGTCGTGGGTTCGATCCCGACCCTGATGATCCCTGTTGCTGCTGCTGTATATTTGGAGTCTCGGTGTCTCTCTCTCTCTCTCCCCGTGGTCGCATGGATTTTTCTCCGGATCCTCCGGTTTTTCCCTCCACATTTACAATCAACGTCACCGCGTTGAGAGCATTTGGACGATTTGTATTTCCACGCGACGACGATGACGACGATGACGACGATGACGACGATGACGACGATGACGACGACGTTGATGACGTTGACGACGATGACGACGATGACGACGTTGACGACGATGACGACGACGTTGACGACGTTGACGACGATGACGACGATGACGACGTTGACGACGATGACGACGACGTTGACGACGTTGACGACGATGACGACGATGACGACGTTGACGACGTTGACGACGATGACGACGATGACGACGATGACGACGACGTTGACGACGATGACGACGTTGACGATGATGACGACGATGACGACGATGAAGACGTTGACGACGATGACGACGATGATGAAAGTGATGACGATGACGACGATGACGACGATGACGACGTTGACGATGATGACGATGATGACGACGATGACGACGATGACGATGTTGACGACGCGACGACAATGACGACGATGATGACGTTGACGACGATGACGACGACGTTGATGACGTTGACGACGATGACGACGATGACGACGTTGACGACGATGACGACGTTGACGACGTTGATGACGATGACGACGTTGACGACGATGACGACGTTGACGACGTTGATGACGATGACGACGTTGACGACGATGACGACGATGACGAAATTGATGACGTTGATGACGATGACGACGATGACGACGATGACGACGATGACGAAATTGATGACGTTGATGACGATGACGACGATGACGACGATGACGACGATGACGAAATTGATGACGTTGATGACGATGACGACGATGACGACGTTGAGCCCGCTTTGTCGAGCTCTCGTTGTGTGGCTGGGTCGCTTCTGAGTAAAAGCGGCACGTCAGCTCGGGGGGGGGGGGGGTCCCCCTTACCTGGCAAAATACAAAAGCGCCGTTTTTTTGTTTTTAAAACGTGGTTTAAATCGTGGATGGGGACCGCCCGAGCGGTTGAGAATTACCATCTCGCTCCGCGCGAAGTTTATTCTGCGGGAGATGACAGGGATTATTCCTCGGGCGCCGTTTCCTGCACTGGTTCGTGATGGGGGGGGGGGGGGCTTGGCTTTGCGATCGTGATTAAGAGCCCTTACCTTTGAAGTCAACTTTGAGCATACTCTCTGGTTCTTTGGGTAAAGTCACGTGGGTAGAAATGAGCTGACGATAAATCGCGACGTTTCGATCGCAACGCAGGCGATACGTCGTCAGGCAGAAGGACACTGCAGCCCAACTTCTGGAATCAAGATCAACTTTGAACATTTAGAAGAAGAAGATGAGGATGATGATGATGATGAAAAGAAATCCGTTTGGCACATTTGTAGGCACGCACGTGTCACCCCCACCCCCAACCCCAGCCCAGCCCAAACTGGTCTGGAGATGCTCGGTTCGGAAACCAGAGCAGCTCCGTGTGGCCTACGGGTAGGGTTGAGCGGAGAGGAAGTGTTTCGATTTAAAGCTTTCGTGACTGCAAGGATTCATCTTCTTTGGTTCTTTCGGTAAAGTCACCACGTAAGAATGAGAATGAAATAATAAATAATAAAATCCCCACGACGTTTGGGCCACAACACAAGCGGCCTTCTTCAGGTGAAGGAATTAGTTTTGTTTTGTTCCTTCACCTGAAGAAGGCCGCTTGTGTTGTGGCCGAAAGAAACGCCGTGAGAATTTCATTGTTTTATTTTATTATTTCATTCTCATTCTACGTGGTGACCTCACCGAAAGAACCAAAGAAGGAGAGGAAGTGATGCGATGTACGGGTGCAAACGCGCAAAGGGTAGGGGCGCAGGACCCTTGCCCACGGCTTGGCTCAGCGCGGCCACTCCTCACAGAAGAAACTTCACTCGAGGGCGATTTGGAAGCGACTCGAAGCGGAGGTTTATTTTTTTGGCCCACTCTTACGCGTGGCGGGCAAAGATGTCTTTGTGGGAAAGAGGTGGCAGCACCCACACTTTACCCCACTGATTATTGTTTCAGACTATTCTTCTGATTTTTTGGTTTTTGTTTTACTTGACCGGGTAAGGCCCCGCTGGGCCAGGCGGCTGTTATTATTTTTCAGAAGAGACGTGGCCGTCACGCGTGATGGCTGCGCGTGTAGTGGCTCATCGTCGCGGGGGCAATCATAGCAGCCAAATGCTCTAAACGCACGTTTCTAAATGACCTCTCAACGCAGTGGGCTTATCGTAATCACGTGGAAATTGATAGCAGTCAAATACTCTAAACGCGTGGTGATGTCGGTTCTAAATGTGGAGTCGGAAAACCGGAGGGCCCGGAGAGAAATCCACGCGACCACTGGGAGAGAGAGACACCGCAAACTCCAAATCTACAGCAGCAGCAGCAGGCGTCAGGGTCGGCATCGAGCCCACGAACTCCTGCGTACCAGGCGAGGTAGTTAACATCTCCCTAGCCACCGTGATGATGATGATGATGAGAGACACGCAAACTCTAAATATACAGCACACATCAGGGTCGGCATCGAACCCACGACCTCCTGTGCACCAGGCGAGGTAGTTAACATCTCCTAGCACCCCGCGGCAGCTCGGCGGACAGCGTCGGCGGCGGTCGTGGGGGAAAGGGAGTGGAGAAGGCTGCCTCCCTCACTGAGCGCGGATCTCACAAAGAGATCAAACCCAACCTCAAATAGTTTTATATTCTTTGGGTCTTTCGGTAAAGTCACGTAGATACACCCCCACCCACCTCGCTCCGTCTGTGACGTCACACCTCCACCCACCTCGCTCCGTCTGTGACGTCACACCCCCCACCCACCTCGCTCCGTCTGTGACGTCACACACACACACACCCCTACCCCCTCCCCCTAGCCCCGTGAGATCAGAGGGCAGGCCAACGACAGCCACCTGGGCGTCTCCTTGTACAGAGATCACGCGTCGCTCACGTGACACGCGCTCCCACGTGCACAAAGAACAAAGGACACAAAGACCACGCCCCTCCCACCACCACGCCCACCACCACGCCCACCACCACGCCCACCACCACGCCCACGGTGTGTGTAGCCCTGCACAGACTGCTGGGGGCAGGCGCTGTTGTTGTTGTTAGCGAGCAGCAGCACCTGCGAAGGCCGGCGCAGTGGCACACGAGGGGGTAGGGGTGGGTCAGAACCACGCCCGGCCGCTTTTGTCTCCCCAGTGGCTTTTCTTAAAATATAAATGTGTTGATGGCGATGATGATGGTGATGATGATAGTGATGATGATGATGGTGGTGATGATTATGGTAATGATGGTGATGATAATGGTGATGATGATGATGGTGGTGATGATGGTAATGATGGTGATGATAATGGTGATGATAATGGTGATGATGATGGTGGTAATGATGGTGATGATAACGGTGATGATAATGGTGACGATGATGATGATAATGATGATGATGGTGATGATGATAGTGATGATGATGGTGGTGATGATGATGATAATGGTGATGATGGTGATGATAATGGTGATGATGATGATAATGGTGATGATAATGGTGATGATAGTGATGATGATGGTGGTGATGATGATAATGGTGATGATGGTGATGATAATGGTGATGATGATGATAATGGTGATGATAATGGTGATGATAGTGATGATGATGGTGGTGATGATGATAATGGTGATGATGGTGATGATAATGGTGATGATGATGATGGTGGTGGTGATGATGATGGTAATGATGGTGATGATAATGGTGATGATGGTGATGATGATGGTGATGATGATAATGGTGATGATGGTGATGATAATGGTGATGATGATAATGGTGGTGATGATGATGGTAATGATGGTAATGATGGTGATGATAATGGTGATGATGATGGTGATGATGATGGTGATGATGGTGGTGATGATGATGGTAATGATGATGATAATGGTGATGATGATGATGATGGTGATGATGAAGATCATGGTGATGATGGTGACGGGAGAGAGAATCCCAGAGCGGAGCAGCGCGATGGACGAGGCAGAGAGAGAGAGAGAGAGACAAGTGAGGTGTTCTGCAGTGTGGTGAGAGAGTGAGTGGGCGGGTGAGTGGGCGAGTGAGTGGTCGAGCGAGTGCGTGGGTGAGTGTACGTGTGATCGAACGAGTTCACGAACGAGTTCACGAACGAGCGAGTGCGGGCGAACCTTCCTGCCGCGTGCACGCGAGGCCGGCAAACGGAGCCGACGGAGCGTTGCCCCGGGAAGTTACAACGGGCGCGTGAATTCGTTTGCAAATTCACTCGCAAGCTCGTTCGTGAACTCATTCGACCCCTTGTGCCCCCTTCCGCCCACCTCCCCGTACAGCGATCTGTCGGCATTCCTGTGGAGATGGCTTCTGCTCCCGCCCGAACATGTGCACCTGCAGCAGCGGGCAGATCTCTCCATCGTGTGGCACAAAGTCCGGTGAGAGTTGCGCGCGGAGGTCGTGGGTTCGATCCCGAGCCTGATGAGATGTTAACTACCTCGCCTGGTACGCAGGAAGTCGCGGGGTTCGATCCCGACCCTGACGACGCCTGCCGCTGCTGTATATTTGGAGTTTGCGGGTGTGTCTCTCTCTCTCTCTCTCATCACCGTCATCACGGTGGCTATGGAGATGTTAACTACCTCGCCTGGTACGCAGGAAGTCGCGGGGTTCGATCCCTACCCTGACGACGCCTGCCGCTGCTGTATATTTAGAGTTTGCGTGTCTCTCTCTCATTATCATCACGGTGCCTAGGAGATGTTAACTACCTCGCCAGGTACACAGGAGGTCGTGGGTTCGATCCCGACCCTGACGACGCCTGCCGCTGCTGTATATTTGGAGTTTGCGGTGTTTCTCTCTCTCTCATCACCGTCATCACGGTGGCTATGGAGATGTTAACTACCTCGCCTGGTACACAGGAAGTCGCGGGTTCGATCCCGACCCTTACGACGCCTGCCGCTGCTGCTGTATATTTGTAGTTTCCGTCTCCCCGTGGTCGCGTGGATTTTAGTATCCAGGTCCTCCGGTTTTTCCCCTCCACATTTACAATCAACGTCACGCATTCAGAGCATTTGGCTGCTGCTACAAAATTTCCACGCGGTGATGATGACGATGACGATGATGATGATAAGCCCACTTCGTTGAGCCATCATTTCAGATGGCCCCAGGCCGCTCCTGAAAAAAAAAAGTTACATAGCAGCTCAGAAGTCGGCCCTTACCTGGTACAATATTTTGAAATTCATAGTTTCGTTTAGTTTGAGGGTTCCTGCGAGACGATGTTACTTTTCTCGTGGTTGTTGCTGACAGTTGCGCTTTGACGCACCCAGGATAGACACAGCCGATCGACCGAAGGTCGTCCTCAATTGACCCCCAACGCCCCCCCCCCCCACCACCACCACCACCAACGTAGTTGCTTTGGTTGACCCGGGCTTCGCCAAAAGTTGCATCAACATTGTTGCCTGGTTGTCTCCAATGGACCACACAACCACCCTATCTACTCCGAGGTCGGCAGTCCTTTGTCGACTGAAGGTTTCCTTCAGGTTGACCCGAGGTTCAGCAAAGGTTGCATCAACATTATTGCCTGGTTGTCCTCAGTGGACCACACAGCCACCCCATCCACTCCGAGGTTGGCAGTCCTTTGTCGACTGAAGGTTTCCTTCAGGTTGACCCGAGGTTCAGCAAAGGTTGCATCAACATTGTTGCCTGGTTGTCCCCGCGTAGCCAAAAAGGTTGACCCAAAGTTAATTGTTGGATTCACACAGAGTAGTGCAGTCGTAGTGGGGAGGTTTGTCACGACCAATATTATCGGCAATTCGAGGTTTGTGTTGGTTAGATCACGTCGATGTACAATGTGTCGTGAAACCCACCACCACCCGACATACAGCCAACTAGTTAAGGGCTTTGTCACGTGAACAAAAACGCGGCCAATTAGTGACTACTTCGGCGCTAACCGGTTAGTGTTGGAGAGCTAAACCCACAAAAATAAAGATTTTTGGGTTAGATCGCGGAAGTAATTAGTTACTAGTATAGTGTACAGTAGTGCATGGTGTAGTGTATGGTAGTGTATCGTGTCGTGTACAGTAGTGTAGTTCCCCCCCCCCCCCCCCCCCACTTTACACAAGATCACAGAAGTGTGGTCACCACATCCACGCCTCTTATATAAGGGGCGGAACCGGTGGACTTCCACGAATCTGTCTTTCGCCTGATGAAGCTGGTTGTGATGTGATGACTAATTACACGAACTCAGATTGTAAATGTTGTGGCTTGGCTCTCCAACACACAAGCGGTGTGCTGAACTGGTATAGTACGCTATACACTACACTGCTATACACTACACTATACACTACACTACTATACACTGCACTATACACTACACTATACACTACACTTCTATACACTACACTATACACGACAATACTATGCACTCCACTATATACTACACTACTATACACTACACTATACACTACACTACTATACACTACAGTACTATACACTCCACTATACACTACACGACTATACACTACTATACACTAATATACACTACACTACTATACACTACTATACACGACATTACCATACACTCCACTATACACTACACTATACACTACACTACTATACACTACAGTACTATACACTCCACTATACACTACACGACTATACACTACTATACACTAATATACACTACACTACTATACACTACTATACACGACATTACCATACACTACACTATACACTACACTATACACTACACTACTATACGCTACACTATACACTATGTCCTGTTTGCGTGACAACCCTTACTAGTTGGCTGTGTCGGGTGGTGGTGGTGGCGGGTTTCACGACACATTTATGTATAATTTAAGAGATCTAACCCCCAAACAAAAACCCTCAAATCACGGACGAGTTACAACCCACCGCGGCGTTTACAATGCGAGTAGCTGCGACGTTTCGCCGGTGACTGTGATGACGACGGAGGGCGGCGGCTTCGTCGGCAAAGTCCTCGTCCGGTTGCAGTCCTAATCCCGGGGGGGGGGGGGGGGGGAGGGGCGGGGCGGGGTTAATGACGCGTGTATATTTACGCGGTTTAACAAACAAAGTTAATTATACGAAGTGAATTATCATCATCAGCGGCAGCGGCATCTTTCCGCCTGGATTATGCTGGAAATCTGCGCCCCCCACCCGGCCCCCCCCCCCCGGAGTTTTTGCAGCACGATGCTCCTCAAGAGAGTCTACAGCAACGCGGTGCGAAACGTCGGACGTCGTGATCCCCCCAAAAGCCCCCTCCCATCACCCTGTTGCCCCGGTGACCCCGAGTGCCAATTTCCCACTCGGCGAATATCTCAAACCAACCGGGCCCCGGGCCTCTGCTTGGTCGACTCAGACTTAAATGAGTAGCTGGCTGGTGCGGTGTGTTGGTGAGTGTGTGTGTGTGAGTCTCTGTGAGTGAGTGCTTTTGTGAGAGTGAGTGTGAGTTAGTGTGTGTGTGTGAGTTAAGCTATATATTTAAGTCGTGGTTTCGTCCAGAGCCCCCGTTTAGCCCCTGTGGTGGGCACAGACGCCATGAGGGGAGGAGCCAATCGGAATTGGCCCATACCTGGGCGGTGTGCTTATGACCGGCTCCAGTTTAACAGCAGAGATCTCACTCCGAATCAGTCGTGCGGCAATATCTTTTCATCGGTTGCATAACGCTGTGTGGAAGCTACGTGGTCTGTCGCTCCGCACTAAGCTTCAGGTCTTCTCGGCCACGATCATTCCCTCCCTTCTCTACGCATGCGAAACGTGGACCCCCCTAATGGAACATCTTCGCTGGTTAGAAACATTTAGGCTAGCCTGCCTACGATCCATCCTGGGTTTAACCAGGCTGGATTGTGTGAGGAGCTAACAAATCTTTGAAAGATCTGGGCAAGGTCCCATCGGTGAGCTCCTCCGGCAGGCAAGGCTGCGTTGGCTGGGTCATGTAGCCCGCGTGCCCAGCCACCGCATACCGAAACAGCTTTTGTTGGACCAGATCGAGGGGGCTAAACGGGCGTGGCACAGGCTAAAGAAGAGATGGAGTGATGTGGTACAGGAGGACGTGGAGCTGAGTGGACTTGCCGATGACTGGTACCACCGGTGTCAAGATCGAACTCTGTTAAGGAGAATCGTGAAGGACGCTACTGGGCAGTTGGAGGCAGTCGCCCTCCAACAACAACGGAGGGCGGAGGAGCGATGCTCACAACAACGAGCGGAGCGCCGGGTGGCTAAAGCACAGCAGGTTGGCACAGTAGGGGGCACAGGTGGTGCATCAGCCAGTCATCTCAGTCAGTCGACTCGTGGCACCTGGGTCTGCCCCGTGACCTCCTGCCAGCGGGCGTTCGACACTTCACGTGGCCTCGGGGTGCACATGGCCTGGCACAAGCGTCGTGGTGACGTCACCGCCACTTAGTGGCAAATGGCGGTTGTTGTTGTTGTGTGAGTTAGTGTGTGTGTGAGTCTGTGTGAGTGAGTTTGTGTGAGTGTATTTGTGTGAGTGAGTGACTGTGTTTGTTTGTGTGAGTGTGTGAGTTCGAGTCTGTGTGAGTGTGCGTGAGCGAGTGTGTGTGAGTGTGTTTGCGTGAGTGTGTGCGTGAGTGTGTGCGAGAGTGTGTGAGTGAGTGTGTGATTGTGTAAGTAAGTGTGTGAGTGACTGTGTGAGTGACTGTGTGAGTGAGTGTGTGAGTGTGCGTGAGTGTGTGAGTGTGTGCGAGTGTGTTAATGTGAGTGTGTGTTTGTGTGAGTGTGTCTGTGTGAATGAGTGTGCAAGTGAATGAGAGTGTGTTAGTATGTGTGTGCATGGCTATGTGTGCGCGTGCGTGCGTGTGCACGTGCGCCTGTGTGTGTGGTCTCTCTGGGTGCCCAATGCCCTTCCTGCCACGTGGAAAAAATAAGTGGAAAATAAAAGGAGGGAGAATTTCGTCCCAACGCATCGCCGCCGCCGCCGCCGCTGCTGCTGCTTCTGCTGCTTCTGCCGTCGTTATCATTACCGGGGGTGCCTCCGTACGAGCCGCGTGACTCCGCTACAGCGTGATGAGCTTGGAATTTGCGAGGAATCAATTTGAGAGGCGGGGGCGTGGGTGTTGTAATAATAAGGTTTACCCTTGATACTTATTGATTCTTTCGGTAAAGTCACGACGTTTCGATCGCGACACAAGCAACCGTCATCAGGTGAAACAAACACAGCTAGCAGTTCTCCCGCTTGTGTTTGTTTCATCGCGACACAAGCAACCGTCATCAGGTGAAACAAACACGGCGGCAGTTCTCCCGCTTGTGTTTCATCGCGACACAAGCAACCATCATCAGGTGAAACAAACACAGCTAGCAGTTCTCCTGCTTGTGTTTGTTTCATCGCGACACAGGCAACCGTCATCAGGTGAAACAAAAACAGCGGTAGTTATACTGCTGTGTTTGTTTCATCGCGACACAAGCAACCATCATCAGGTGAAACAAACACAGCTAGCAGTTCTCCTGCCTGTGTTTCATCGCGACACAAGCAACCGTCTTCAGGTGAAACAAACACAGCAGCAGTTCTCCCGCTGTGTTTGTTTCATCGCGACACAGGCAACCGTCATCAGATGAAACAAACCAGCTATCAGTTCTCCTGCTTGCGTTTGTTCCATCACGACACAGGCAACCGTCATCAGGTGAAACAAACACAGCTAGCAGTTCTCCTGCTGTGTTTGTTTCATCGCGACACAAGCAACCGTCTTCAGGTGAAACAAACACAGCGGCAGTTCTCCCGCTTGTGTTTGTTTCATCGCGACACAAGCAACCGTCATCAGGTGAAACAAACCAGCTAGCAGTTCTCCCGCCGTGTTTGTTTCATCACGACACAGGCAACCGTCATCAGGTGAAACAAACCAGCTAGCAGTTCTCCCGCTGTGTTTGTTTCATCGCGACACAGGCAACCGTCATCAGGTGAAACAAACACAGCTAGCGGTTCTCCTGCTGTGTTTGTTTCATCGCGACACAAGCAACCGTCATCAGGTGAAACAAACACAGCGGTAGTTATCCTGCTTGTGTTTGTTTCATCGCGACACAAGCAACCGTCATCAGGTGAAACAAACACAGCTAGCAGTTCTCCTGCCTGTGTTTGTTTCATCGTGACACAAGCAACCGTCTTCAGGTGAAACAAACACAGCGGCAGTTCTCCCGCTGTGTTTGTTTCATCGCGACACAAGCAACCGTCTTCAGGTGAAACAAACACAGCGGCAGTTCTCCCGCTGTGTTTGTTTCATCGCGACACAAGCAACCGTCATCAGGTGAAACAAACACAGCTAGCAGTTCTCCTGCCTGTGTTTGTTTCATCGCGACACAGGCAACCGTCATCAGGTGAAACAAACACAGCTAGCAGTTCTCCTGCCTGTGTTTGTTTCATCGCGACACAAGCAACCGTCTTCAGGTGAAACAAACACAGCGGCAGTTCTCCCGCTGTGTTTGTTTCATCGCGACACAAGCAACCGTCATCAGGTGAAACAAACACAGCTAGCAGTTCTCCTGCCTGTGTTTGTTTCATCGCGACACAGGCAACCGTCATCAGGTGAAACAAACACAGCTAGCAGTTCTCCTGCCTGTGTTTGTTTCATCGCGACACAGGCAACCGTCATCAGGTGAAACAAACAAAGCTAGCAGTTCTCCCGCCGTGTTTGTTTCACCTGATGACGATTGCTTGTGTCGCGATCTATTTATTTTCCACCTACGTGACTTTACCGAAGGAACCAAAGAGTATGGATCCCTGCAGTCACGAAAGCTTCAAATCAAGATTTTACCCTTGATGGTAATCAAACGGGGGTTGCGTTAAGACGTTCAGACACCAAACTGTAAACCTTTTGTAAGGAACCGTGTCACGGCATTGACCCCGCACACACATTGCGGTGAACATGCAAACAAATAAGTTATATATATTTTTTTTAACTTTTTTTTTTAAACTTTTTTTTTAAACACGCTTTATTGAGACGTACGCTACTAGTAATGGCAGAACTCCACGACTCCAGGAAGTGGCCTCGAAGCTCGCCACGATGTAAGGGCACCGTGGTGACTTACAGCCAACGTGAGTTGAGCGTGGGACAATTAGACTCAAGCCGAAACATAACACGTAAAAAATAACGTTTAAAAATATTTATTCTTCATTTTTTACGATAGAATATAGTATTGTCATCGGTACGACATAAGTATACCAAGTTAGCAGTCGATACCGCATTGGGAAGTGGGCTAAAATTGAGTTACAAGATCTGAGGATATTATCAACAGACATAGTGCGTTAATAAAAAGCGTGTTATAATGAAAAAAATAAACATCCTCTGATAGTATATTATGATGGCATTGTCTCACAAACAGCGTTAGATCCAGAGGACGACGCCAAAAGTCGAACAGCACCAGGACAATGCCACTGGCAGGACATTGAGAGCTCGGAGTGAGCAGCAAGGAGGCCCCATGATGTGGGGGGGGGGAAGGGGGGAGGGTGATAGTCAAAGCTCCGAGCTGATGGATACAAAAATCCATTGCTGTAATGTCAAATCCTGGACAGCACGATGATGATGTGTGTGTCGGTGTGTGTGTCTCTCTCTGCCTTTCTCTGTCTCTGTCTCTCTGACTCTCTGTGTCTCTGTCTGACTCTCTGTCTCTCTGTCTGTCTCTCTCTCTGTCTCTGCCTCTCTGTATCTCTCTGCCTCTCTGTCTCTGTCTGACTCTCTGTCTCTCTGTCTCTTTCTGTCTCTCATTCTCTCTCTGTCTCTGTCTGACTCTGTCTCTCTCTGTCTCTCTGTCTCGCTCTCTGTCTCTGTCTGTCTCTCTGTGTCTCTCTGTCTCTGTCTGTCTCTCTGTGTCTCTGTGTCTCTCTCTGCCTTTCTCTGTCTCTCTGACTCTCTGTGTCTCTGTCTGACTCTCTGTCTCTCTGTCTGTCTCTCTCTCTGTCTCTGCCTCTCTGTATCTCTCTGCCTCTCTGTCTCTGTCTGACTCTCTGTCTCTCTGTCTCTTTCTGTCTCTCATTCTCTCTCTGTCTCTGTCTGACTCTGTCTCTCTCTGTCTCGCTCTCTGTCTGACTGTCTGTCTCTCTGTGTCTCTCTGTCTGTGTCTCTCTGTGTCTCTGTGTCTCTCTCTGTCTCTCTGTCTGACTGTGTCTCTCTCTGTCTCTCTGTCTGACTGTGTCTCTCTGTGTCTCTGTGTCTCTCTGTCTGTCTCTCTGTCTGACTGTGTCTCTCTGTGTCTCTCTGTCTGTGTCTCTGTGTCTCTCTCTCTGTCTCTCTGTCTGTGTCTCTCCGTGTCTCTCTGTCTGTGTCTCTGTGTCTCTCTCTCTGTCTCTCTGTCTGTGTCTCTCCGTGTCTCTCTGTCTGTGTCTCTGTGTCTCTCTCTCTGTCTCTCTGTCTGTATCTCTCCGTGTCTCTCTGTCTGTGTCTCTGTGTCTCTGTCTCCCCTTCTCTGCCCGAGCAGTGCAGCAGTGCAACATCCGCTGTATGAATGGCGGCACCTGCGTGGAGGATCACTGCCTTTGCCAGAACGGATACACGGGCTCACACTGCGGACAGCGTGAGTCCACCCACGTCCACCCCCACCCACGTCCATCCACGTCCACGTCCACCCTCCCCCCCCCCACGTCCACCCACGTCCACCCCTCACCCCCCCTCCACGTCCACCCCCCCACGTCCACCCTCCCCCCCCACGTCCACCCTCCGCCCACGTCCACCCACGTCCACCCCTCACCCCCCCCCCACGTCCACCCCCCCCCACGTCCACCCTCCCCCCCCCCCCACGTCCACCCTCCACCCACGTCCACCCACGTCCACCCCTCACCCCCCCCCCACGTCCTCCCCCGCCCAACCCCCCCACGTCCACCCCCGCCCACTTTACCCACTCGCTCACTCGTCCGCTCTGCCGCCGCCGCGATCCCACGGCAGCAGCCTCTCGCCCACGTGACGTCGGTTCACACCGGCGCCTTGCGCAGGAGTGTGCCCGTGCAGGGCTGACCCCTCGTCCCTGAGGCGCACTGACGCCCCCGCTCACCGCGGTCCCATCGGTGAGCTCCTCTGGCGGGCAAGGCTGCGTTGGCTGGGTCATGTAGCCCGCATGCCCAGCCACCGCATGCCGAAACAGTTTTTGTTTGGCTGCATTGAGGGGGCTAAACGGGCGCGGCACGGGCTAGAGAAGAGATGGAGTGATGTGGTACAGGAGGATGTGGAGCTGAGTGGACTTGCCGATGACTGGTACCAGCGGTGTTAAGATCGGCCTCTGTGGAGGAGGCTCGTGAAGGACGCTACTGGGCAGTTGGAGGTAGTCGCCCTCCAACAACAACGAAGGGCGGAGGAGCGACGCTCACAACAACGAGCGGAGCGCCGGGTGGCTAAAACACCGCAAGCTGGCATAGTAGAGGGCACAGGTGGTGCATCGGCCACTCATCTAAGTCGACCCATGGCACCGCTGGGTCTGTCTCGTGTCCTCCTGCCAGCGGGCGTTCGACACCTCACGTGGCCTCAAAGTGCAACCTAGCCTGGCACAAGCGCATTGGCGACGTCACCGCCACTTAGTGGCGAGTGGAGGTTGTTGTTGTTGTTGTTGTCCCCAAGTTCGATTCCCGCTCACGGTCGCCAACAAACGGTGACAATTATCTGATCCGACCCGATCCTGGGCCTCCCCTAGGTCGACTCAGCCTCAACACCGAGCACCCGGTGCGATGTGTAAACGTCGCCACCGGGGGAGACAAAGGCGGCCCGGTCGTGGTTCGCCGACCCGCCTATAACAGGCGCTCGCGAACAGCACTTGCCCCGACGCAGCGTGAAAGGCCCGCGGTTGGGGTGACCTTTACCTTTATCTGTGGTTTTTTAACGGTTTTAATTAACTTCACTTGAAATAATAGGGCTTTTCCCCTTTTTCCTGGCAACAAAACTGAAACCTCTTTTTTAACAAGGATTCATGTTACTGCATTAACCACAATACCTGCAGCCAAAATGCAAACAAAAACATACTTTGATAATATATGATGCATTGAACTTGAAACTGATTGGTCCACACCAAGGGACGGCTTTCTTTTGAGCCTCGACCCAATTGGTGCTCGACCAGGTGACGCCAAAAGGCGTACATTATATCATAGTATGTTTTTTGTTTGCATTTTGACTGCAGGTATTGTGGTTAATACAGTAACATGAATCCTTGTTAAAAAGGTTTCAGTTTTGTTGCCAGAAAAAAGGTGAAAAACCCTGTTATTATTACATTTTGGTACTGGCAAAGGAGGTCTAATGATGTAGATGCTCACCCCGAGCCCTCATTACTTTGATAGCGGCATTGTCTTTGAGCTGTGTGACGCCTTTTGGCGTCGTCTGGTCGAGCACCAATTGGGTCGAGGCTCAAAAGAAAGCCGTCCCTTGGCGTGGACCAATCAGTTTCAAGGACAATGCATCATCATATTATCATAGTATGTTTTTTGTTTACATTTTATTACATTTTGGTACTGGCAAAGGAGGTCTAATGATGTAGAAACTCCACTTGTGTTGAAACTTTTTGGTTCTCTCGGTAACGTCACGTAGGTGGAAAAGTAATAACGGATCACGACGTTGCGATCGCAACACAAGCGGCCTTCATCAGGTGAAGGGGACGAGACTGTCTGGTAGGACAGCACTGTCCGCTTGTGTTGTGGCCGAAACGTCGTGAGAATATTATTGTGTTATTTTATTTTATCAATTTATTATTTAATTCTCATTCTACGTGGTGACTTTACCGAAAGAACCAAAGAAGATGAATCATTGCAGTCACGAAAGCTTTAAATCGAGATTCTCTTGTTGTTGCGATCGGAACGTCGTGATCTGCTGTGTGTGTTTCTACCCACGTGACTTTACCGAAAGAACCAAAGAGTGTGGATTCCTGCAGTCACGAAAGCTTCACATCAAGATTTCACTTGCGTTTGTTCGTGGTCAAATCTTGCGATCAAACGTTAGTCTGCTTCCTGCGGTCCAATCGATTACGAATTTCGCGCGCGTACTCAGATGCGGCGACAATGGACGCCTGTCTCAAAATCGGCATCGAGCCATCGATTCGTTGCCTCCTTTTAAGCGATTACGACGTTTGTATGGGCGGCGTATTTAATCACGTATTGTTTGTGCGTAGGTCAAAAACGGCCGTGGAGCCCTAAACCGTGGGATCGCCTCGCCCAGGCGCGCACCGCCGCGTGTCTCAGGCGCCACTGACGCTCTTTCTCGACCGCGGGTTGAACGAAGTTGTTAATGGAAGCGTTGTTTTTGTCGGAACAAAAAAAAATTGTAAAAAACTTTTTTTCACGAGTTCATTTGCCGTTGCCTCCCAGCTGTGTGCAAGAATGGCTGTCAGAACGGGGGCCGCTGCGTGGGGCCCAACCGCTGCGCCTGCGTCTACGGATTCACAGGGCCACAGTGCGAGCGCGGTAGGTGGCGGCGATACCCGTGGACTCACACAGAGAGCCGTGGACTCACGCAGAGAGCCGTAGACTCACGCAGAGAGCCGTGGACTCACACAGAGACCCATAGACTCACACAGAGACCCATAGACTCACACAGAGACCCATAGACTCACACAGACCCATAAACTCACATGGAGACCCATAGATCCTCATAGAGACCCATAGACTCACACAGAGACCCATACACTCACTCAGAGACCCATAGACCCACACAGAAACCCATAGACTCACACAGAGACCCATAGACTCACAAAGAGACCCATAGACTCACACAGAGACCCATAGACTCACTCAGAGACCCATATACTATAATAGAGACCTATAGACTCACGCAGAGACCCATAGACTCACACAGAGGCCCATAGACCCTCATAGAGACCCATAGACTCACACAGAGACCCATACACTCACTCAGAGACCCATAGACCCAGACAGAAACCCATAGACTCACAAAGAGACCCATTGACCCTCATAGAGAACCATAGACTCACACAGAGACCCATAGACTCACACAGAGACCCATAGACTCACACAGAGAGCGATAGACTCACACAGAGCCCCATATACTCACTCAAAGACCCATAGACTCACTCAGAGACCCATAGACTCACTCAGAGACCCATACACTCACTCAGAGACCCATAGACCCACACATAGACCCATAGACTGACACAGAGAACCATAGAGACACACACAGACCCGTAGACTCACACAGAGACCCATAGACTCACACAGAGAACCATAGACTCACACAGAGACCCAGAGACTCACACAGAGACCTATAGACTCACACAGAGTACCATAGACTCACACAGAGAACCATAGACTCACACGGAGACCCGTAGACTCACACAGAGAACCATAGACTCACACAGAGACCCGTAGACTCACACAGAGACCAATAGACTCACACAGCGACCCATAGACTCACAAAGAGACCAATAGACTGACACAGGGACCCATAGACACACTAACAGACCCGTAGACTCACACAGATACCCATAGACTTACACAGAGACCCATGGACTCACACAGAGACCCATAGACTCACAGAGAGACCCATAGACTCACACAGAGACCCATGGACTCACACAGAGACCCATAGACTCACAGAGAGACCCATATACTATAATAGAGACCTATAGACGCACGCAGAGACCCATAGACTCACACAGAGGCCCATAGACCCTCATAGAGACCCATAGACTCACACAGAGACCCATACACTCACTCAGAGACCCATAGACCCAGACAGAAACCCATAGACTCACACAGAGACCCATTGACCCTCATAGAGAACCATAGACTCACACAGAGACCCATAGACTCACACAGAGACCCATAGACTCACACAGAGAGCGATAGACTCACACAGAGCCCCATAGACTCACTCAACGACCCATAGACTCACTCAGAGACCCATAGACTCACTCAGAGACCCATACACTCACTCAGAGACCCATAGACCCACACAGAGACCCATAGTCTCACACAAAGACCCATAGACTCACACAGAGACCCATAGACTCACCCAGAGACCCATAGACTCACTCAGAGACCCATAGACTCACTCAGAGACCCATAGACTCACACAGAGCCCCATAGACTCACTCAAAGACCCATAGACTCACTCAGAGACCCATACACTCACTCAGAGACCCATAGACCAACACAGAGACCAGTAGACTCACACAGATACCCATGTGTATGTTGTATGTGTGTATGTTGTATGTGTGTATGTTGTATGTGTGTATGTTATATGTGTGTATGCTGTATGTGTGTATGCTGTATGTGTGTATGCTGTATGTGTGTATGTTGTATGTGTGTATGTTGTATGTGTGTATGTTGTATGTGTGTATGTTGTATGTGTGTAGTCAAGGGATGGCTCCCTATTGCTCAACCACGTTATGTATGCTGATGATTTGGTAATAGCTGCTCAGTCAGAGGAGGAGTTGGAGACGCTGCTGCTGAGACTGGAGCGTGCCACTAAGAGGTGGGGCCTTACCATCAGCCCCACCAAAACTAAGCACCTGCCTGGGTATTTTGTACCATCGGACACTCCACCCCCACAACTCCCAATCGGTGATGGGGCAGTTGTGGAGAGAGTGGAGAGTTTCCCATACCTGGGCAGTGTGCTTATGACTGGCTCCAGTTTAACAGCAGAGGTCTCACTCCGAATCAGTCAAGCGGCAATATCTTTTCATCGGTTGCGTAACGCTCTGTGGAAGCCACCTGGTCTGTCGTTCCGCACTAAGCTTCAGGTCTTCTCGGCCACGGCCATTCCCTCCCTTGTCTACGCTTGCGAAACGTGAACCCCCCTAATGGAACATCTTCGCCGGTTAGAAACATTTAGGCTGGCCTGCCTACGATCCATCCTGGGTTTAACCAGACTGGATTGTGTGAGGAGCTCACAAATCCTTGAAAGATCTGGGCAAGGTCCCATCGGTGAGCTCCTCCGGCGGGCAAGGCTGCGATGGCTGGGTCATGTAGCCCGCATGCCCAGCCAACGCATGCCGAAACAGCTTTTGTTTGGCCGTATTGAGGGGGCTAAGCGGGCGCGGCACGGGCTAGAGAAGAAATGGAGTGATGTGGTACAGGAGGACGTGGAGCTGAGTCGACTTGCCGATGACTGGTACCAGCGGTGTCAAGATCGGCCTCTGTGGAGGAGGCTCGTGAAGGATGCTACTGGGCAGTTGGAGGTAGTCGCCCTCCAACAACAACGGAGGGCGGAGGAGCGACGCTCAGAACAACGAGCGGAGCGCCGGGTGGCTAAAGCACAGCAGGTTGGCACGGTAGGGGGCACAGGTGGTGCATCAGCCAGTCATCTCAGTCAGTCTACCCGTGGCACCTGGGTCTGCCCCGTGACCTCCTGCCAGCGGGCGTTCGACACTTCACGTGGCCTCAGGGTGCACATAGCCTGGCACAAGCGTCGTGGTGACGTCACCGCCACTTAGTGGCGAATGGCGGTTGTTGTTGTGTGTGTGTATGTTGAACTCCTTTCGCACCGTACGTCGCCACCCATGCAAATCAGAGGTGCCCGGGGGGAAGGGCAACAAACCAAACACAACAACAACAACAAACACAACAACAACAACAAACCAAACACAACAACAACAAACAAACACAACAACAACAACAAACAAACGAGCAGCAGCTCGAAAGAAATTAAATTCGTCAATCCGGATTATTTAAAAATGCATCATAGCTCCCCAGCGGCTCCATCATATCGGCAGGCAGAGCGTTAAGTGAGTGTGTGACTGAGTGAGTGTGTGACTGAGTGAGTGTGTGACTGACTGAGTGTGTGACTGACTGAGTGTGTGACTGAGTGAGTGTGTGACTGACTGAGTGAGTGTGTGACTGACTGAGTGAGTGTGTGACTGACTGAGTGAGTGTGTGACTGACTGAGTGAGTGTGTACATGCCTGACTGAGCGAGTGTGTGACTGACTGAGTGAGTGTGTAACTGACTGAGTAAGTGTGTAACTGACTGAGTGAGTGTCTACATGACTGAGTGAGTGTGTACATGACTGAGCGAGTGTGTAACTGACTGAGTGTGTAATTGAGTGAGTGTGTAACTGACTGAGTGTGTAACTGAGTGAGTGAGTGTGTACATGACTGAGTGAGTGTGTAACTAACTGACTGAGTGTGTAACTGACTGAGTGTGTAACTGAGTGAGTGAGTGTGTACATGACTGAGTGTGTAACTGACTGAGTGAGTGTGTAACTGACTGAGTGAGTGTGTGACTGACTGAGTGAGTGTGTAACTGACTGAGTGAGTGTGTAACTGACTGACTGAGTGTGTAACTGACTGAGTGTGTAACTGACTGAGTGTGTAACTGACTGACTGAGTGTGTAACTGACTGAGTGTGTAACTGACTGAGTGTGTAACTGAGTGAGTGTGTAACTGACTGAGTGAGTGTGTAACTGAGTGAGCGGCAAATCAAAATCAAAGTCGATGAAGTCAATGAACTCCTGAACCAGTGATTGAACAACACGTGACCTTTCTCCCCCCACCCCCTCACGCCCCCACCTTCCCGTCCTCCTCCCACCATCCTCCTCCACCTCCTCACTCCTCCTCTACCCACCCCCTCTCTCGCTCCTCCTCCACTCCTCACCTCGTCGACCCCCCCGCCCCCCGACGGGACACAGACTACAGGACTGGCCCCTGCTTCACCCAGGTGACCCAGCAGATGTGCCAGGCGCAGCTGAGTGGCGTCGTCTGCACCAAGACCCTCTGCTGCGCCACCATCGGGCGTGCATGGGGCCACCCGTGTGAGACGTGCCCGCCGCAGCCGCACCCGTGCCGACGCGGGTTCATCCCCAACATCCGCACGGGCGCGTGCCAGGGTAGGTGCACGCACGCCGGACGCGCGGTTTGGAGTCCCGCTCGCTGAGCCTCGCCCGCTGAGTCACACTCGCTGAGTCTCGCTCGCTGAGTCTGAGTCTCACTCGCTGAGTCTCACTCACTGAGTGTGAGTCTCACTCACTGAGTCTGAGTCTCACTCACTGAGTCTCACTCGCTGAGTCTCACTCACTGAGTCTCACTCGCTGAGTCTCACTCACTGAGTCTCGCTCGCTGAGTCTCGCTCGCTGAGTCTCACTCGCTGAGTCTCACTCACTGAGTCTCACTCACTGAGTCACTCTCGCTGAGTCTCACTCACTGAGTCTCACTCGCTGAGTCTCGCTCGCTGAGTCTGAGTCTCACTCGCTGAGTCTCACTCACTGAGTCTGAGTCTCACTCACTGAGTCTGAGTCTCACTCACTGAGTCTCACTCACTGAGTCTGAGTCTCACTCACTGAGTCTGAGTCTCACTCACTGAGTCTGAGTCTCACTCACTGAGTCTCTCTCGCTGAGTTTCGCTCGCTGAGTCACGCTCGCTGAGTCTGAGTCTCACTCGCTGAGTCTCGCTCGCTGAGTCTCGCTCGCTGAGTCTCGCTCGCTGAGTCTCACTCGCTGAGTCTCACTCACTGAGTCTCACTCGCTGAGTCTCACTCACTGAGTCTCACTCGCTGAGTCTCACTCACTGAGTCACTCTCGCTGAGTCTCACTCACTGAGTCTCGCTCGCTGAGTCTCGCTCGCTGAGTCTCACTCGCTGAGTCTCACTCACTGAGTCTCACTCACTGAGTCACTCTCGCTGAGTCTCACTCACTGAGTCTCGCTCGCTGAGTCTCACTCGCTGAGTCTCGCTCGCTGAGTCTGATTCTCACTCGCTGAGTCTCACTCACTGAGTCTGAGTCTCACTCACTGAGTCTGAGTCTCACTCACTGAGTCTCACTCACTGAGTCTGAGTCTCACTCACTGAGTCTGAGTCTCACTCACTGAGTCTGAGTCTCACTCACTGAGTCTCTCTCGCTGAGTTTCGCTCGCTGAGTCACGCTCGCTGAGTCTGAGTCTCACTCGCTGAGTCTCGCTCGCTGAGTCTCGCTCGCTGAGTCTCGCTCGCTGAGTCTGAGTCTCACTCGCTGAGTCTCGCTCGCTGAGTCTCGCTCGCTGAGTCTCGCTCGCTGAGTCTCACTCGCTGAGTCTCACTCACTGAGTCTCACTCGCTGAGTCTCACTCACTGAGTCTCACTCGCTGAGTCTCACTCACTGAGTCACTCTCGCTGAGTCTCACTCACTGAGTCTCACTCGCTGAGTCTCGCTCACTGAGGTCTCACTCACTGAGTCTCACTCGCTGAGTCTGAGTCTCACTCACTGAGTCTCACTTACTGAGTCTCACTCACTGAGTCTCACTCACTGAGTCTCGCTCGCTGAGTCTCACTCACTGAGTCTCACTCGCTGAGTCTCACTCACTGAGTCTCACTCGCTGAGTCTCACTCACTGAGTCACTCTCGCTGAGTCTCACTCACTGAGTCTCACTCGCTGAGTCTCGCTCACTGAGGTCTCACTCACTGAGTCTCACTCGCTGAGTCTGAGTCTCACTCACTGAGTCTCACTTACTGAGTCTCACTCACTGAGTCTCACTCACTGAGTCTCGCTCGCTGAGTCTCACTCACTGAGTCTCACTCGCTGAGTCTCACTCACTGAGTCTCACTCGCTGAGTCTCACTCACTGAGTCACTCTCGCTGAGTCTCACTCACTGAGTCTCACTCGCTGAGTCTCGCTCACTGAGGTCTCACTCACTGAGTCTCGCTCGCTGAGTCTGAGTCTCAGTCGCTGAGTCTCACTTACTGAGTCTCACTCACTGAGTCTCACTCGCTGAGTCTCACTCGCTGAGTCTCACTCACTGAGTCTCACTCGCTGAGTCTCACTCACTGAGTCACTCTCGCTGAGTCTCACTCACTGAGTCTCACTCGCTGAGTCTCGCTCACTGAGGTCTCACTCACTGAGTCTCACTCACTGAGTCTGAGTCTCACTCACTGAGTCTCACTCACTGAGTCTCACTCACTGAGTCTCACTCACTGAGTCTGAGTCTCACTCGCTGAGTCTCACTCACTGAGTCTCACTCACTGAGTCTCGCTCGCTGAGTCTGAGTCTCACTCACTGAGTCTCACTCACTGAGTTTCACTCACTGAGTCTCACTCGCTGAGTCTGAGTCTCGCTCGCTGAGTCTCACTCACTGAGTCTCACTCACTGAGTCTCACTCACTGAGTCTGAGTCTCACTCGCTGAGTCTCGCTCACTGAGTCTCACTCACTGAGTCTCACTCACTGAGTCTGAGTCTCACTCGCTGAGTCTCGCTCACTGAGTCTCACTTGCTGAGTCTCACTCACTGAGTCTGAGTCTCACTCGCTGAGTCTCGCTCACTGAGTCTCACTCGCTGAGTCTGAGTCTCTCTCACTGAGTCTCACTCGCTGAGTCTCGCTCACTGAGTCTCACTCACTGAGTCTGAGTCTCACTCGCTAAGTCTCGCTCACTGAGTCTCACTCGCTGAGTCTGAGTCTCTCTCACTGAGTCTCACTCGCTGAGTCTCGCTCGCTGAGTCTGAGTCTCTCTCACTGAGTCTCACTCGCTGAGTCTCGCTCGCTGAGTCTCACTCACTGAGTCTGAGTCTCACTCGCTAAGTCTCGCTCACTGAGTCTCACTCGCTGAGTCTGAGTCTCACTCGCTGAGTCTGAGTCTCTCTCACTGAGTCTCACTCGCTGAGTCTCGCTCGCTGAGTCTGAGTCTCAGTCGCTGAGTCTCACTCGCTGAATCTCGCTCACTGAGTCACCCTCGCTGAGTCTCACTCGCTGAGTCTCACTCGCTGAGTCTCGCTCACTGAGACTCCCTCACTGAGTCACTCTCGCTGAGTCTCACTCACTGAGTCTCACTCACTGAGTCTCACTCACTGAGTCTCGCTCACTGAGGTCTCACTCACTGAGTCTCGCTCGCTGAGTCTGAGTCTCACTCGCTGAGTCTCACTCACTGAGTCTCACTCACTGAGTCACTCTCACTGAGTCTCACTCGCTGAGTCTCGCTCACTGAGACTCCCTCACTGAGTCACTCTCGCTGAGTCTCACTCACTGAGTCTCACTCACTGAGTCTGAGTCTCACTCGCTGAGTCTCACTCACTGAGTCTCGCTCGCTGAGTCTCGCTCGCTGTGTCTCACTCACTGAGTCTCACTCACTGAGTCTCGCTCGCTGAGTCTCGCTCGCTGAGTCTCACTCGCTGAGTCTCACTCACTGAGTCTCACTCGCTGAGGCAGCAGCGCTCACTCAGCCACTCACCCAACCACTCACCCAACCACTTACCCAGCAACACACTCAGCAACTCGCTCACTCAGCAACTCACTCACTCAGCAACACACTCACTCAGCAACTCACTCACCCTTCACTCATCCGCTCACTCATGCACCCACGCGTGCCGGCACGGAAGCGATTTCATGATCGTCATCAGTACCGTCGATGGCTTCGTCAATTCGGCTTCCTCGGCTTGGAGAGGCGCGCATGGGCGACACTCGTCAAAAAGGGCGAGCGAGCGAGCAAGGGAGCGAGCCAGCCAAGGAGCGAGCGAGCCAGCCAGCGTGCGTGCGTGGCGAGCGGTGGTGCAGCGGTTAGCGCGCTGCTCACGACCCGGCGACTCCCTGAGTTTGAGTCGCTGCCACGGCCAACGTCGGCGGAAAAGCGAACCGCACTCTGTCCTCACCAGGACCCACACACCTACACACACACACACCTCTACCTACACACACACACCTCCACCTACACACACACACACCTCCACCTACACACACACACCTCCACCTACACACACACACACCTCCACCTACACACACACACCTCCACCTACACACACACCTCCACCTACACACACACCTCCACCTACACACACACCTCCACCTACACACACACACACACCCCTACACACACACACACCTCTACCTACACACACACCTCCACCTACACACACACACACACCTCCACCTACACACACACACCTCCACCTACACACACACCTCCACCTACACACACACACACACACTCCTACACACACACACACCTCCACCTACACACACCTACACACACACCTCCACCTACACACACCTCCACCTACACACACCTACACACACACCTCCACCTACACACACACCTCCACCTACACACACACACACCTACACACACACCTCCATCTACACACAAACACACCTCCACCTACAACACACCTCCACCTACACACCCACACACACACCCACACACCTCCACCTACACACACACCTCCACCTACACACCCACACACCTCCACCTACAAACCCGCACACACCCCCACACATCTCCACCTACACACACACACCTCCACCCACCCACCCACCCTCACACGTACATACCCACACCCACACACCCACCCACACCCACACACCCACCCAAAGACAAATATCCCCCCGATAGCCTTAACAGACTGTAGAGGCAAGTGCAAGTGTTGTCGGTGGTGGTGGTGCTGGTGCTGCTACTACCGCTGGCGGCGGTGGTGTTGCAGCTGCGGGTGTACACACTCGGGGTCTGTGTGCAGCGAGCTGCGACTCAGGAATCCGCCACGAATGAAAGGGGCTCCCCGAACTGCGGCAATTAAACATTCCCCAATCTCCCCACCACCACCACCGCCGCCATCCCTAACCACCACCACCACCACCGCCACCCCGTGCCACCCCGGGCCAAAATAAAGTCGGCTGCAATTTATTACGTGGATGCTTGTAATGGGAGTTCATAAATAGTGCCTGGCCGTTGCTGCTTTGCCGATGTTGTTGTTGTTGCTGTTGTTGCGTTGGCAGGGGTGCAGCAGTAAACAGCGGCAGCAGGAACAAAATCAACTCGACGGGGGGAGGGGGTGGGGGGTGGGGAGGATGTTGTCGAGTTTTTCCGTTTCGCGTGAATGCCGAACGGCCTTTGGACGCCTCCCCACCAGCCCTCCCTCGTGCCAGCCAGCCAGCCAGTCAGCCAGGAAAACTTTTTTTTTTAGAATAATCTCACTGAGGAGCGGGGGTGGGGGGGGTTAGTGCAGCTTGCGAATGCGTTGGCCGATCAATCGTGGTGAGGTGCTGAGCCTTGGACTTGCTTTGCGATGAGTTACTTTCTCAGACTCTGTGTGTGTGTGAGAATGTGTGTATGTCAGACTGTGTGCGTGTGTGAATGTGTGTATGTCAGACTGTGTGTGTGTGTGTGAGAAGGTGTGTATGTCAGACTTTGTGTGTGTGAGAATGTGTGTATGTCAGACTTTGTGTGTGTGTGAGAATGTGTGTATGTCAGACTGTGTGTGTGTGAGAATGTGTATGTCAGACTGTGTGTGTGTGTGTGAGAATGTGTGTATGTCAGACTGTGTGTGTGTGAGAATGTGTGTATGTCAGACTGTGTGTGTGTGTGAGAATGTGTGTATGTCAGACTGTGTGTGTGTGTGTGTGAATGTGTGTATGTCAGACTTTGTGTGTGTGTGAATGTGTGTATGTCAGACTTTGTGTGTGTGTGTGTGTGAGAGAATGTGTGTATGTCAGACTGTGTGTGTGTGAGAATTTGTGTATGTCAGACTTTGTGTGTGTGAGAATGTGTGTATGTCATACTGTGTGTGTGTGAGAATGTGTGTATGTCAGACTGTGTGTGTGTGAGAATGTGTGTATGTCAGACTTTGTGTGTGTGAAAATGTGTGTATGTCAGACTTTGTGTCTGTGAGACTGTGTGTATGTCAGAATGTGTGTGTGTGTGAGAATGTGTGTATGTCAGACTGTGTGTGTGTGTGTGAGAATGTGTGTATGTCAGGCTGTGTGTGTGTGAGAATGTGTGTATGTCAGACTGTATGTGTGTGTGAGACTAGTGGGGAGCGGTAGTGTAGCGGTTAGCGCGCTGCGCTATGAACCTGGCGACCCGGGTTCGATTCCCGCTCACGGCCAACACCAGTGACGATTATCTGAACCGGTCCCGGGCCTCCCCTAGGTCGACTCAGCCTCAAATGAGTACCTGGTGCGGTGTGTAAACATTGCCACTAGGGAGACAAAGGCGGTCGGGCGTGGTGCTGGCCACCCACCCCCTCGTGTACCGTTCCGGCCTTCATAGGTGCTCGCTAACAGCACTTGCCCCTACAGTCTGTTAAGGCTATATGGGGGATCTTTGTCTTTGTTTGTATGTCAGACTTTGTGTGTGTGAGAATGTGTGTATGTCAGACTGTGTGTATGTCAGACTGTGTGTATGTCAGACTGTGTGTATGTCAGACTTTGTGTGTGTGAGAATGTGTGTATGTCAGACTGTGTGTGTGTGAGACTGTGTGTGTGTGAGACTGTGTGTGTGTGAGAATGTGTGTATGTCAGACTTTGTGTGTGTGAGAATGCGTGTATGTCAGACTTTGTGTGTGTGAGAATGTGTGTATGTCAGACTGTGTGTGTGTGAGAATGTGTGTATGTCAGACTGTGTGTGTGTGAGACTGTGTGTGTGAGACGGTGTGTTTTAGAGAATGTGTCTGTGTGTTTGAGACTGTGTGTCGTGTGTGTGTGAGACTGTGTGAGACTTTGTTTTAGAGAATGTGTCTGTGTGTTTGAGACTGTGTGTCGTGTGTGTGTGTGAGACTGTGTGTGTATGTCTGCATGCGTGAGACTGCGTGTCGTGTGTGGGGAGCGGTAGTGTAGCGGTTAGCGCTACGCTGCGCTATGAACCTGGCGACCCGGGTTCGATTCCCACTCATGGCCAACACCACCAGTGATGATTATCTGAACCGGTCCCGGGCCTCCCCTAGGTCGACTCAGCCTCAAATGAGTACCTGGTGCGGTGTGTAGTAAACATCGCCACTGGGGAGACAAAGGCGGTCGGGCGTGGTGCTGGCCACCCACCCCCTCGTGTACCGTTACCGGCCTTCATAGGTGCTCGCTAACAGCACTTGCCCCTACAGTCTGTTAAGGCTATATGGGGGATCTTTGTCTTTGTCTTTGTGTGCGCGTCTGTGTGTGCGTGTCTGCATGTGCGTGTCTGTGTGTCTATGCGTGCGTGTCTGTGTGTCTATGCGTGCGTGTCTGTGCGTGCGTGCCTGTGCGTGTCTGTGCGTGTGTGTCTGCGTGTGCGTGTCTGTGCGTGCGTGTCTGTGCGTGCGTGTCTGTGCGTGCGTGTCTGTGTGTGCGCGTGTGTGCGTGCCTGTGCGTGCGTGCCTGCGTGTCTGTGCGTGTCTGTGTGTGTCTGTGCGTGTCTGTGCGTGTCTGCGTGTTTGTGCGTGCGTGTCTGCGTGTCTGTGTGTGTGTGTCTGTGTGTGTCTGTGTGTGTCTGCGTGTCTGTGTGTCTGTGTGTGTCTGTGCGTGTCTGTGTGTGTCTGTGCGTGTCTGCGTGTCTGTGCGTGCGTGCGTGCGAGACCGCGTGTCGTGTCATGTGCGTGCGTCTTCGCGCGTGTCCCTCCATGTGTGGGCGTAGATGTGGACGAGTGCCAGGCGATCCCGGGGATCTGCCAGGGAGGCACGTGCCTCAACACCGTGGGCTCCTACGACTGCAAATGCCCCGTGGGTCACCGCAAGAGCGAGATCACGCAGAAGTGTGAAGGTGAGTTGCAGCGACGGACTGTCGGGGCAAGCGCTGCACACGATCAGCGGCACCCACGAACGGCCCTCCGGCACGGGGCCAGCACCACGCCCGGCCGCCTTTGTCTCCCCGGTTGGCGATGTTTACCACGCACCACGACCGAGGGGGAGGCCCAGGACCGGTTCAGAGAATCGCCACCGGTGGCGTCGGTGGCCGTGAGCGGGAATCGAACCCGGGTCGCTGGGTGCGTAGCGCTAACCTACGCTCACACGCGCACAACAACAACAACAACAAGCGCCATTCGCCACTAAGTGGCGGTGACGTCACCGCAGCGCTTGTGCCAGGCTAGGCCACGTGGAGTGTCAAAGGCTCGCTCCTGGCACGGGACAGACCCAGCGGGTGCCATGGGTTGGCTGACTGAGATGACTGGCTGATGCACCAACTGTGCCCCCTACCGTGCCAACCTGCTGTGCTTTAGCCACCCGGCGCTCCGCTCGTTGTTGTGAGCGTCGCTCCTCCGCCCTCCGTTGTTGTTGGAGGGCGACTGCCTCCAACTGCCCAGCAGCAGCGTCCTTCACGAGCCTCCTCCACAGAGGCCCATCTTGACACCGCTGGTACCAGCCATCGTCAAGTCCACTCAGCTCCACGTCCTTCCGTACCGCATCACTCCATCTCTTCTCTAGCCCGTGCCGCGCCTGTTTATCCCCCTCTATCCAGCAAAATGGAAGTTTCTTGGGTATGCTGCGGTTGGGCATTCGGGCCACTTGACCCAGCCAACGCAGCCTCGCCTGCCGGAGGAGCTCCACGATGGGACTGTGCCCAGATCTTTCAAGGATCTGTGAGCTTTTCGCACATTCCGGCCTGGTTATAAACCCAGGGTGAATCGTCGGCAGGCCAGCCTCCTATGTTTATAAACCATCGCAGATGTTCCTTCAAAGTGCTTCACATGTCAAAGGTGTAGCGAAGAGCTGGAGCTCCGTGCGGAGCGGCAGACCAGGTAGCATCCACACAGCAGCGTTGCGCAGCCGATGAAAAGATAAACGCCGCTCGACTGATTCGGAGCGAGACCTCCGCTGTCAAAACCGGGGCCGGTCATGAGCACACTGCCCAGGTATTGGAACTTCTCCACTCTCTAAACAACCACCCCATCACTCACGGCGAGTGAAAGGGGTGGAGTTTTTTGATGGTACAAAATATCCAGGCAGGTGCTTAGTTTTGGCGGGGCTGATGGTAAGGCCCCACCTCTTAGTGGCACGCTCCAGTCTCAGCAGCAGCGCCTCCAATTCTTAATCTGAGTGAGCAGCAATCACCAGATCATCGGCATACGTAACATGTTTGACCAGCAGAAAGCCATCCCTTGACCGCATCCGGGCATCGATCAGCATCCCATTGTATTTGCACCAGATGGAAATTCTACTGGTGCAGGCACGGAAGTCTTCCCGAACTACGTGGTCAAAGACGGTGTGAATTAATGTGGGAGCCAGAGGACATCCCTGTCGTACTGGAAGGTGAACAGGGAATGGCTCCCTGCCACTCAGCGTTTCTAGGGCCCGCCCACCATCATGAAAGTCCACACACACACACAAACAAAACAACAACAACAACCACCGCTATTCGCCACTAAGCGGCGGTGACGTCACCACGGCGCTTGTGCCAGGCGATGTGCACGTTAAGGCCACGTGAAGTGTCGAAGGCTCGGTCCCAAAGACACGCTCACCAACGTACACAAACAAAAAACAAAGATCCCCCGTGTAGCCCGTAACAGACTGTTGGGCCAAGTGCTGTTGGCAAGTAGCACCTGTGGAAGGCCGGCACGGCGCACGAGGGGGGCGGGTGGCCAACACCACGCCCGACCGCCTTTGTCTCCCCAGTGGCGATTATTTTACAATCCGCACCAGGTACTCATTTGAGGTTGAGTCGATCTAGGGGGAGACCCGTGACCGGTCCAGATGATTGTAATCGTCAGCGGTGTTGGCCGTGGGCGGCAGATGACTTCGTGTCGCGGTGTTTTGCAGCGCAGCGCGTTAGCCACTGCGCTACCGCTCCCCTGCATGGACACACAAAGACAAAGATCCCCCATATAGCCTTAACAGAATGTAGGGGCAAGTGCTGTTAGCGAGCACCTATATGGACACACACACACACAGAGGCACCACCGCTCACACACACACGCACTCACGTCTAGCTCACTGGCGACCCACATCCGTGAGTTAGTCCGACTGTGTGCGTCAGCTTGGCGAGGCCGAGTGGGTGAGTGAGTGGGTGGGTGAGTGAGTGAGTGGGTGGATGAGTGAGTGGGTGAGTGGGTGAGTGGTGAGTGAGTGAATGAGTAAGTGAGTGAGTGAGTGGGTGAGTGAGTGGGTGAGTATGTGAGTGAGTGAGTGTGTGAGTGTGTGAGTGAGTGTATGAGTGTGTGAGTGTGTGAGTGAGTGTATGAGTGTGTGAGTGAGTGAGTGTATGAGTGTGTGAGTGAGTGTATGAGTGTGTGAGTGTGTGAGTGAGTGTGTGAGTGTGTGAGTGGGTGTGTGTGTGTGTGAGTGAGTGTATCAGTGTGTGAGTGAGTGTGAGTGAGTGAGTGTGTGAGTGAGTGAGTGTATGAGTGTGTGAGTGAGTGTATGAGTGTGTGAGTGAGTGTATGAGTGTGTGAGTGTGTGAGTGAGTGTGTGAGTGTGTGAGTGGGTGTGTGTGAGTGAGTGTATCAGTGTGTGAGTGTGAGTGAGTGAGTGTGTGAGTGGGTGTGTGTGTGTGTGAGTGTATGTGAGTGTGTGAGTGTATCAGTGTGTGAGTGTGTGTGTGAGTGTGAGTGAGTGTATGAGTGTGTGAGTGAGTGTGAGTGTGTGAGTGAGTGTATCAGTGTGTGAGTGTGAGAGTGAGTGTGTGTGAGTGAGTGTATGAGTGTGTGAGTGAGTGTATCAGTGTGTGAGTGTGAGAGTGAGTGTGTGTGAGTGAGTGTATGAGTGTGTGAGTGAGTGTGAGTGTGTGAGTGGGTGTGTGTGAGTGAGTGTGTGAGTGAGTGTATGAGTGTGTGAGTGAGTGTGAGTGTATGAGTGTGTGAGTGAGTGAGCGAGCTGGTCTGACCACGCGAATAGAAACTCCGCTGGCCCTGTCTCTCCCTGTCTCTCCCTGTCTCCCTGTCTCTCCATGTCTCTCCCTCTATCTCCCTGTCTCTCCCTGTCTCCCTGTCTCTCCATGTCTCTCCCTGTATCTGTCTCTCCCTGTCTCTCCCTGTCTCTCCCTGTATCTCCCCGTCTCTCCCTGTCTCTCCCTGTCTCTCCCTCTATCTCCCTGTCTCTCCCTGTCTCTCCCTGTATCTCCCTGTCTCTCCATGTCTCTCCCTGTATCTGTCTCTCCCTGTCTCTCCCTGTCTCTCCCTGTCTCTCCCTCTATCTCCCTGTCTCTCCATGTCTCTCCCTGTATCTGTCTCTCCCTGTCTCTCCCTGGCTCTCCCTGTATCTCCCTGTCTCTCCATGTCTCTCCCTGTATCTGTCTCTCCCTGTCTCTCCCTGTCTCTCCCTGTCTCTCCATGTCTCTCCCTGTCTCTCCATGTCTCTCCCTGTATCTGTCTCTCCCTGTCTCTCCCTGTCTCTCCCTGTCTGTCCCAGTCTCTCCCTGTCTCTCCCTGTCTCTCCATGTCTCTTCCTGTCTCTCCCTGTCTCTCCCTGTCTCTCCATGTCTCTTCCTGTCTCTCCCTGTATCTCCATGTCTCTCCATGTATCTCCCTGTCTCTCCCCATCTCTCCCTGTCTGTCCCTGTCTCTCCATGTCTCTCCCTGTCTCTCCCTGTCTCTCCCTGTCTCTCCCTCTATCTCCCTGTCTCTCCCTGTCTCTCCCTGTCTCTCCCTGTCTCTCCCTCTCTCTCCATGTCTCTCCCTGTCTCTCCCTGTCTCTCCCTGTCTCTCCCTGTCTGTCTCTGTCTATCCCTGTCTCTCCCTGTCTCTCCCTCTCTCTCCTTGCCTATCCCTGTCTCTCCCTGTCTCTCCCTGTCTCTCCCTGTCTCTCCATGTCTCTCCTTGTCTCTCCCTGTCTCTCCCTGTCTCTCCCTGTCTTTCCCTGTCTCTCCCTCTATCTCCCTGTCTCTCCCTGTCTCTCCCTGTATCTCCCTGTCTCTCCCTGTCTCTCCCTGTCTCTCCCTCTCTCTCCATGTCTCTCCCTGTCTCTCCCTGTCTCTCCCTGTCTGTCTCTGTCTCTCTCTGTCTCTCCCTGTCTCTCCCTCTCTCTCCTTGTCTATCCCTGTCTCTCCCTGTCTGTCCCTGTATCTCCATGTCTCTCCATGTCTCTCCCTGTCTCTCCCTGTCTCTCCATGTCTCTCCCTGTCTCTCCCTGTCTCTCCCTCTATCTCCCTGTCTCTCCCTGTCTCTCCCTGTATCTCCCTGTCTCTCCATGTCTCTCCCTGTATCTGTCTCTCCCTGTCTCTCCCTGTCTCTCCCTGTCTCTCCATGTCTCTCCCTGTCTCTCCCTGTCTCTCCCTTTATCTTCCTGTCTCTCCCTGTCTCTCCATGTCTCTCCATGTCTCTCCCTGTCTCTCCCTGTCTCTCCCTGTCTCTCCCTGTCTCTCCATGTCTCTCCCTGTCTCTCCATGTATCTCCCTGTATCTGTCTCTCCCTGTCTCTCCATGTCTCTCCCTGTCTCTCCCTGTCTCACCCTGTCTGTCCCTGTCTCTCCCAGTCTCTCCCTGTCTCTCCCTGTCTCTCCATGTCTCTTCCTGTCTCTCCCTGTCTCTCCCTGTCTCTCCCTGTATCTCCATGTCTCTCCCTGTCTCTCCCTGTATCTCCATGTCTCTCCATGTATCTCCCTGTCTCTCCCCATCTCTCCCTGTCTGTCCCTGTCTCTCCATGTCTCTCCCTGTCTCTCCCTGTCTCTCCCTGTCTCTCCCTCTATCTCCCTGTCTCTCCCTGTCTCTCCCTGTCTCTCCCTCTCTCTCCATGTCTCTCCCTGTCTCTCCCTGTCTCTCCCTGTCTGTCTCTCCCTGTCTCTCCCTGTCTCTCCCTCTCTCTCCTTGTCTATCCCTGTCTCTCCCTGTCT